TCCTATATATAAGTCAGAAAAATCATATATTAAAATAATTACAAAAGAGCTTACTTGAAGGTAAAGCCATTGCTATTGAAAAGGTTTTTTATGTTAAATGTTCTTTACCGTTACGTTTTATAGCAATGCTTTCTTATCACAAACAGCTATATCTAAAGTGTTTTGTTGATATTCATATGATGAATAAAGATAAAAAAACTTATGTCTGGTATTTTCCAACAAAATTTCGGCAGATACAATTAATAGTTATTAGAAAGATTTCATACGATGACTAGAAATAGTGAATACAACACGATTCTAGTAACCAGAATTTAGAACAAATGATAACCGACATGTATTTCTAGTGCGATATTTCAGATATGTAATATACATATGATAACTTTTACTTAAAACAAAGACAACATTGCACGTAATATGAATCTACTGAATAGCATTGTTTATTTTTTCTATAGATAAAAAAAATCACATTTTTAAATGGATAAATCAATCACAAGTTAAAAAAGAAAATCTAGATGTGTATTATTAGAAATCGTTATCTGTGCCAAAAAAAAATTTCAGTTAATCATCTTCAAAAAGTATTTTAATTGTGTCTGCATCAAGTAATTGACTTTCAACAAGACGTTTAGACTAAATAAAATAGATAAATATAGTTTATTGCATTGTAATCAATTAATTTTTACCGTTCCCCATTCGATTAACGTTGGAACACCTGTTAAACGAGTTTGTGGATCTGTTCGAAATGGACATTTCGGATCTTTCCAACTGAAAATAAATTTAATATTTCGTTTATTAAAAAAGTCATATTTTATAAATAATACCTTGGTCGATCACCAACATCACATTCAATAAATACTGCATTCGATGGTAACGATGATTTAACAGCTTCTTCTACTGGTTTTTCTGCTGCTACACAATCTGGACACCTACAAAAATCAAATCTATTATTTATATTTTTAATTAATTCACTTACCAACTATGTCCTTTACTATCTTTTGTTCCACAAAATAATACAAAAATTCTTTTATCTTTATCATATTTTTCTACAGTATTTTTCAATTGATCAAACCCTGCGACGGAAACGGATGAAGTCATCTAGAAAAAAAAATATCGGACAATTTTCTCGATTAAAAAACAAAACAAAAATATAAAAAGACAAGATTCTATTCACATGAGATTAATTTTTTTCTATTTAAATTTAAAATTGAATCAGCTATAACTCTTGCATTTGTTCTTTGATATCCACCAGATGTACACATAACAATTGGAATATTTCTTTCTCGTATACACTTAGAAAAAACAATTTCATCACGAATAATGACACCCTAAAAAGGAAAAATTTGATATTAAAATTAAACAAAACAAACTATACTTCAGGTGTAATATCAAGATTTCCAAGTAGATCACCTTCAAGTATATCTGTTCCAGCATTATAAACAACAATATCTGGTTGAAATGCTTTCAATGATTTTTCAAGATTTATATGTAATAAACGAAGATATGTTTTATCGTCAGTATGATTCATTAATTCAATTTTACATTTAATTGCAGTTTTAGCATGTTGATCACGAGGATATATTTGACGATTGTACATATCCATAATAAATACTCTTTCATCATTCATAAAATCATGTTCATGTCCATTACCCTAAGATAAAAGAATTATTTCTTTTTTTTATTCAATTGAAATATTCCTTTTTTTACTTGATGTGCATCTAAATCAACAATGAGAACTTTTTTTATTCGATCAGAATAATAAATAAAGAGATTCTTGATGAGTAATGTCAGATCAGCATAAGCACAAAAACCACCACCACTATCCGATGAACAATGATGAAAACCACCACCTATATTTATTGCCCAACCACGTTCTAATGCTAATTTTCCTGCCTTTAAAACAATAAAATTAAAAAAATAAACCATCGAATTTTAAGGTAAATAGTTACCAGTATAGTTCCACCTGTTTGATATCGTAATGGTTTTAGAACACGCCATTGAACAATAAAATTAGGTAACATTGCTATTGGTGCTACTTCAAGAACACGTGCGACTTGTAAACTCCATTTAAGACTTGATAAATAACGTTGTGTATGAACAAGACGAAGATGTTCTTCCGTTGCTTCGTTCGGTCGTATTATTGTATCATTTGTAATCATATTTGCATCTATTTAAAAGAAAATCTAAGAAAAGAATATTTAATTTTAAATCATACCTCGAAGATAATTTATGATCGATCCCCATTTTGATGAATCAAATGGATGAAGTTTTTCCAAACGAAGAAAACCAATATTATAATTTTTACAATAAATTATTGGCCATTGATGAGAAGCAATATCTTTGTACAATGTATTTCTATCATAGGAAAATCTTAACTAACAAATTTTAACTAGTCTTAATTTCTACTTTGGAAATTGAACTAATGTATCATCACTGGGTGAAGTCATTATATAAAGCAATACATATAATTATGGATTTATAGATCAATTTATGTTCTATCATCACATATTTCAATAAAAATACTCGAAAAATTCTTTATTACGTAGAAGATCGTAGGATGAGTCATATCTTTCCTATGATTGGTTAGCTATCGCCAATCTTAAGATATTAATAAAATCTCATAATTTCTTTTGTAGCTCATAAAACCTATGTCTTGAATCTTAAATTTATATTTAAAGAAATTATAGATACAAATAGGAAGAGCGAATTCGATTAAATTAATTGATATTCCTATCAGTAATATAGTAATTACATGAAATAAACATCTAATTAATCGAAATTACATATTACTCGTTTATTTTTTGCACCAGTAAAATACTGCCATCTATTTTTAGACTATTTTATTATTCGATGCAATAAAAAATTTATAATTTCATCAATACATCTGAACTATGTGAAATTATGAGTAGAAGTTAAATATATATAGTCATGTGTTATCATGCATTTCTTTTTATATGACACTGCTTATTACTAACTGCCTTCATTCTTATTACTCAATTTGAATATATTGATATGCATCATCGATTTTTGATTGACTTTACGTTGAATATTCATTGCATGATATATTATATAGCAAACAATAACAAACTTAAACGTTATTATCATTTATATATTTCAGATAGAAAAAAAAAACCCGTTTTTGAATATTTAATATGGCTAGAGGACATCAAAAAGAATTATCTCGTCAACGTAATGACAAAAATAATTCAAATAAACCAACAACACAAAAAGGCACTGCTGGTAAAAATCCTCTAACCTTTTTTTTAAATTAATTTTATTTTATATAATTTTTATAGCTGCTGCTTTGACTATTCAATGTGCTGTTTGTAAAGTAAGATTTTAATGAAAATTTTGTTTCTTATTTTTTTTTTATTTTGATTTTTAGACTCAAATGGGAGATCCAAAAACATATAAATTACATTTTGAAAATAAACATCCTAAAAATGAATTACCAGCTGAATTAAAAGATGTTTAAATCGAATAATTGATTTGAAGAAAAGAATATATATTCAATAGAAACACTTCTCTTCATTTTTCTATTTTTCTGTATCAAAGAATTCGAATAAAATTAATCCAGCAGAATATTATCATTGCTGATTTTTAATAAACTTATTATTTAAAAGATTTTTATTATACATTGGGTCAACACAAGTAACAGCAGATGTTATGAAATATATATATATATATCAATTCTGCTTTCTTTTTTTCTCTTCGACATTGAAATCTCTCTTACATTCACCGATATACCTTAAAACATATACACGTTATAAAACAAAAAGAGAACGATAGCAAGAATAAGATAGTCACTAGGATACCATAATGATATAAACACATACATCCGAGAAAATGATATAAACTATTGAGTAGTTTCATGATTTTGATATAGAATAAATAAGTAACAAACTTTCGTGTCTTTAATTTTTTAAGGTTACAAAATTCAAGTTTCGTAATTAACAATGAGTCGAGTATGTAAAATTAAATAAGAAACAGATGGAATTTATTTTCTTTTTCTTTTAGCCTCGTAATCATCAAGTTACTCCATATTATGATCGTGATTTATCTATACATAAACCTGGTGTAATACCAAATTCATCTCGTATTATTTCACCCATAACAGCAAATCGTCATAAATATGAATTAAAACAACGAATCGGTCCAAAGAAAACTGTTGAATCTTGGTTTGCAAATCATTCACCAGATGGTAAAATCCATTCGATATTTTTTTATTAGATTAAATCAATTATTTTAGAACGTCGAGCTGTATACAGTTTTCTTGATACACTTCATCAATCTGATGATAGAAGTAGAAAAGAAGAGCAACGTCAAAAATCACCAACTCGTCGAATAAATACAGCTACAAGTCATTCATTACAACGACGAGCATCTCGTGATAATCGAATATCAAATCATGATCTTGGAGAAGTTCTTGAAACAGTAGAAAGGTAAACCTGGATGTAGAGATTAACATTTGTCTCTGTAGTCAATCAAACAAAAGAGGATTAGATATTTTTTTCCTAGAATTATTAAATATCTGTGCTTTATTTAGATTTCGTCCTTCATCATCTGTTAAAGAAAAAGGTGTTCAGACTACATCAACTGCTTTTACAATTCCGCTACCTGATGTGAAAAATGATCATAAATCAGAAGAAAATTCAACAGTTCAGCCTGAAAATGATAAAGCATCTCGACGTTATCTTTCACATACATGGCGTGTTATTAATCCACGTGACGATGTTGAAAAAAATGTTCGTCCTGAAAATAATACATCATCATTTTTTAATTATACCAAAAAATCTTATCCCGAATATTTTTTTATTCATCCCGATTGGTATTAAATTATGTCATTTTTTTGTTTCGTTTATTTTTAAAGAATATGTTAATTTTATAAACAATACAGATTCTTTTGTTTCGTAACAACAATAATAATTTACAAATAAAAGCATTCATAAAAAAAAAACAAGAACAAGAAACAATTACTTTTTTTTACAACATACAAATCAACGAACTTATGGACAACATTGAACTTGACAACCATAATTAAGTACCATTCGTTTTGATGCTCCATTTTGTGGATATGCTTGTTTCTTTGTATGATTATATCGATCATTGAGTAATAAAGGTCGAGCACGTTTCACTCGTTCATCTAAATATGGATATTGTGTATGATATCTTCCACGATAATTTAATCGTCTTATTGCATTATGATCTTCTTTTAAAAAATTTTGTCTTTTTTGTTCATTTTGTCTTGAAACAGTCCATGGACAAATACATCCAATAAGATGTGAAAATTGTTGTCTTGCTTGTTTATTAAGTGCAAAATAAAATATAAAACTAAAACACATTGATATCATTGATAAAAGATATAATGAATAATTAATAAATATAAATCGACGTAAATCCGTATTACGATTATTTAATGTAAGTATTGATAATGTTTGATTATGTTCATTAGATGATGATGATACAGCAAATGGATTTATTGTACGATTTAATGGTGATAATGATCTTGGTGTTATTTGATATACATGATGCCATGTATAAATATTATATGGTGCCCAACAAAGAACATAAAATGATAATAGAAGAACAAGCAATAAAACTGTACGATTAGCATTTGCATTTGCTTGAGAATTGATTTGATAAAGAATAATTGGTGATGATATTGATGTTGAACTTGTTGCTGTTGATGATCGACTTGATTGTGATGATTGTGATGAATTATTTGGATTAGAATTTAAAGGTGTTAATTGTGCAGCTCCCATTGTTATTGTTGTTGCTGTTGAACCAGCTGTTTCACTATTACTTAATACAAGACGTCGATGAGATGATTGTTTAGGTGTTAAATGTAAATGTTCATGTGATAAAACATTATGTTTATTTGAACGTTTTTGTACATGAGTTTCTGCTGTATTATTACGTTTGGTTGGTAATATATATGCTCGTTTAGTTAAATAACGTTGATTATGTCTTGAACGAATAAAATAAATTAATTTTGCATGAAGAAAAAATGCTAAGAATATTGGTAAGATGTAAAATGATATTAATACACTTATTAAGATCTTATTTGTATATTGTACAATACATGATTTCTTTGTAAAATATTTTGGTAAAATATTTGCATGAAGCATATTACATATAGCTAATGGTAAACTACATATTATTGGTAAAATTAAAAGAATTATGGAACCAGATTTTGTTGAAACACGACGACACCATTTTGACCATGATGATGTTCTTGATGATGTATGTCCATGAATGTAAACAAATCGATCAAATGCACCTATTTAAAAATATATATATGAAATTTTCTTATATTTATTTTTATTAATATGACTATTTTTATTTGATTTAATCGTACGGAAAAATAATAAATTAGAAATTGAAGATTATTGTAAGCGCGATTTCTTTTATCTTTTAATAACAAATAAGGAGGAAAGGACATTTTTATATTTCTTTTTTATAAAATTATTTTTGACACAAAGTAATTTAATCATGGACTTAGATGTGCAAGACATTTTAATATATCCTTCAAAAACAAATTATAATGAAAATAATCAACATTTCAAAAAGAAAGGAAAATTGTCATTTTGAACAATTATATAAGCATATTTTGTTTTCAGTCTAGCATTCAAAATTATATTTCGGAAATACTTCAATTAAGTAGATTTTTAATGCGAAATATTTTTATGAATACTTGACATTCGATTTTATAATACAGCTATGTGACATTATATTATAAATTCTACCGCTAAATGTATGAAAAACAATAGGTTATGTTTTTCAAAGTTAATCAGTCTGTTCCTAAATAATTCAGTGTTATATCTGGAATACACGGACAAATGTCACGTACGTTTTTTGATTAATCTTTATCACAAACTAATCAGCCCTGTGTGAAACCTTTTATTTTTACACTTAGCGAACTCACATTCATGATATATGATTTTTTTCTTTTTTTTTTGTACTAAATAATATATTAATTTCTATTTTAGTGAACAAATAAAAAAACTAGAATCTTCTAGTAAAAAGTTATTATCAAATTGAGCCATATGGCTAACGGTAACTGTAGGCGAATTATCAGAGTGAGAATATTAATTTAAAACTAACTTTTTTTTCTAATTAATATTTCTAGTAGTTTCTTTTTATAATATAGAAGTTTTTCATTAAGGAAATAAATATTTTTTTTGTTTACATTTGACTTATCCTACCAAGTGAAAATTATTCCAGTAAAGGATATGTAATTATCTTTTAACCATATATGTCATGTATTCTCTTAATTCTAGTATTTGACATTTAGATATAAATAAATCTTTGACATGAAAAATTGGTTTCTTTAATAAATTTTCTATTAATATAGTTCATGTAAATATACATTGTTTGATATTATTCATCCATATAATAAAATTATGATACTCAAATGAATTTATCAAATTATAAAAAAAGAAACTACACGATCATTTTCTCAATATATTCAAGGTTCTGATAAAATAGTTTATTTAGAGTTACTGTGAATCTATATCTCCAAATAATCATACGAAGGAAACAATTATATAACTCTTTCAGAAAAGTAAAAAAGAATTAAAAGATCAACTGAGTACCTCCTACGATATTTTTTTCTCTTTATCACAATGGAAGAATTCATTAACGATAGATTAGCAATGTCAAAGTTAATCAGAAACAAAAAATAATCCTAAAATGCTTGATTAGAAAAAAGCATTCTTTTTATGACCTTTTTCATTACAAAAGTGAACCTTAGATGATGTTCTGAATAAATAATAAATCGTCTCAAAGGTATTTCTGTATTTATGAATAAAATGTTTTACATACCTAATAAGTGATAAAATATAATACATGTTGAAAATAATGCTTCAAAAAATGTGTGAAATCGACAAAGCCATTCTTGTGTAAATGAAGATGAAATAAATCGATATATTTCTGTTGGTGAATCAATTATGACTAAACAAAGTTCACCTAAAAATATATCAATAGAAGATACAAAATATTTTTTTATATATAGAATAATTTTCTTACTTAATGCAAGACATAAAACAATTCGATCAGTTTGAATAAGACGAAAACGTTTCGAATAAAGAACTTTAGCCAAACATATATTTCCAATAATTGATATTAATGAAACGATTCCAATCAGAATAACAAATACAAGTAATGAAGGTGTATATTCTTCTATATCATAAATTTTTGTATTAGATTCTTCACTTTTATTGATACTATTTTTATTGTTTAAATTTTGAATTTGTAGTATACAATCATCCATTTTTTTTGGTACACGTAATGTTAAATTCGCTCTTGCTAATAATTCTTGAAAAAATACTGGTAATACTTCTTGACCACCTGCAGCCGCTGTTTTATTACCAACAAGCGATAAAATTCTTTCACATTGCATTGTTAGGAATGTTAAATATGCTGGAGATGATAATGAATCTTCTGGAAATGGTAATGATACAGGAAATTTTCCAACCATTTTGAAACTATTCTATTTATTATACAAGATATACAAATGAAGGTAATAAAAGTACAATCTAAAATATAATAAGAACTTGTTAATGTAAACAAAGAATCTTCTATAATTTTGAAATACATCATTAATTTCTCTCTCTCCCTCTTTTTTTTTTGATTAGTTTTAGAAATATGAACGTATGTGCGTAAGTACATACTTGAATGTGTCTGTTTATGAAATCTTGCTCTTTTTAGTGTACGTCTATCTGTCATGTGTCTGTCAGACTAACTGTTACATTTGAAGAAAAAAGAAAAAGAAATAACAAAGAGAGAAATTAATTTTTTATAAGAATTTTTGCTCAAAAAAGAACAACGCGTAAGAGAAGAAATTTTATAAAAGAAGAAATATGATTCTTCTTTTTGTTACCATATATATGTGTATTCATTGAATATCCTCCTTTTGTTTCATTGTTAACTATTAAATATTCAAATAACCAGTATAAACTGATGAATGATAAAAATATCGAAATCTCATCTATATGCAAATTTATTATTCATATTCTGTCTATTATAAAAGAAAAATAAATGCATCATGTGTTTTCTCGTACTAATGTAACAAAAATAAATAAGATAGAAAAATTCAAAAAATTAATTTCTAGAAGATTGAGTAACTTGAAATTGTCATTTTTTGTAAGTATATTTCACGGATGTCGCTAGTTATATTAAGAAAAAATATCACTATATAATTATAATCAAGAGAAGGGGGATGATCTAACCTATGAACAATAATCAAAGAGAACGCAACTACCGGTGTCTGACTATTGATGTTATACAATACTTTGAACTACTTTCAAAGTTTCAGAGTCGGAGACTTCATCCTTTATACTGTCTATGACCTAATTAATGTCATCTATTGATAATGTATATAAAGCTCTTAATGTCAGAAATAATATTTAATGTTAATGATTTTTACCTGCGGAGATTTTTAATAGCTCTTGACCTCTACTAAAATCTTTTATAATAAAAAAATAATTCTAAAAACGATTAATTACTATTCTACTGTATAGAGTTAAGTTCTTTAGAATGTTTCTAATATATCAACTTAATTCTGCAAAGTAGATTAAGAAGTTTTCTTATATTAAATAAAGTGACATATAATACGTATGTTAATAGTTTTACTCACCCACAGAATACGTACTTTTGTAATTACTTCTTTATAGTCGTATCATGTGATAGCAGAATTCATCTGCTTGAACAACTGGCAACTAAATATAATTTGTAGTGCACTTGGAGACAGCCCGTGTAATTAGATTTTTCTGGTTATTCAGTTTTTGTTTTTATTTCTGACTAAATGTCCTATATAACCTCATCGAATATGCAGAACGTGTGACAATACTACATAGAATGATCTTTGTCATTGACAGAAAACATGTAAATAGGAGGGCGGAGTTAAAAAAGAAAAAGATCAGACTGTACTCATGAGAATATGAAATCATTTAGTATAATAATGATAATAATAATAACACTATTTCCCCTCTTACGTCAGTTAGTTACTAAAAGACTCTAACACATATGATACTTTTTCTCTTCTTTCACGATTAGACTTCATGAGATCTATATGAAAAAGAAATAATCTTTTATAACCTACGATTCATGCTTAAGTGTAATTGTTTTAATCATCGTGCCTGATTATTTTAATGGAAACTAAACACCTCATCTACGTCATGCATAACATGAATAACTTTTTACTCGTTATTGTATATGTGTGTGTGTGCATAAAGATGATATTAATAATCGTTAACATTACTTTGTAGTTCCTGAAGCAAAGAATATAAGGACAAAACATTTAAGGAAGTGAAAACAGCCATGTTTTCCCATTAAATCTTTCTTTTCTTTGAACAAAAGAAAATAAAAAACTTATTCATGATCTTAATGATTCACTTGACGATCGTAAATTATGATTTTAGTTCGACTAACTCATGTGTTAATAATATATATTTTTCCGAATTGCAACGGAACTCCTACAACTTCTCACATTCTAATCAATCTAGAAGTACGCTTAATGTCATCGTGTAAAAATGTATATTTATAACTTAAAATAAAATTTTATTAAGATTGATAATGCCTCATTTTGATAAATCACTTTCTTTCAAAAATACTAAAAAAGAAAATTCATTGAATGATTTATCTCTATTTACTTATTGAAAAAAACAAACTATCGTATAATAGACACAAATCCTTACGTCTGAATTCACATCGCTACACAATGATTTTGTTTTCTGATCAAAATGTATAGTAGTTTTATAACAGAACTGTTTCCTGTTTGATGCTCTTTTTTTTCTTACTTGACAATTGCATGTTAAGAAGTATGAATACAACAATGTCACTCAACACAAACGAAGGAAAAAAAACATAATAAACTTATTATGATTATTATCACGAGTTAAATAGGACTTAGAAAAAAAAGAAGAAAAATAATATTCGCGTACTTAAATCTATGAATATTAATTCAAAATTTATCACTTTCTCTAATATGCCTATTTATCTATCTATCTCATATATCAATTCAAGGTCTTGAATCAATAGATTCTATATCCTCTTACTTATATATATATCTTTATTACCTGGACACGAAAACAAAACAAATCTGCAAAAACATGATCAAATGATTGCATGTTAATTTAATCAACTCATGAAATAAGAAACAATGAAAGAAAAATCCCTACTTGTGTCGTGATCATTTTCCGTTTCTTTTATTATTCCTTTCATTCATGTAATCTTTTTCATATTTATTTATATATTTTTCCTCATTCTCAATGAGAACCACCCACGTTTCCTGGAAAATGTTAATAAAATATAATTGTTCCTTCTTTTTGTATTATCATATTAATTAAATAAAAAATATATAATAAATAAAAACCGAAACAAAAAGAAAGATATAACGCAGATATGAAAAGAAAACCGATGTCAAATTAAAAAAGAATACTAGCAGATTATCGTACAAAACCTGCTGGTAATGATTGAATAGCAGCTGCTCCAAAAGACGAAGGATATTGTGAAAATTATTGTTGTTGTTGTAGTTGTTGTAGCTGTTGTAGCTGTTGAATACCTATTGGTGAGGATTGAATACCAGATGCTCCAAAAGACGAAGGATATTGGGCAAATTGTTGTTGTTGTTGAATACCCATTTGTGATGATTGAGCTGGACCGACGACTTGTCGAATAACTCGAATACCTTTTGGTTGAACGATATGCTAAAATTAAAAATTAATTATTAAGCGATAATGGCTAATTAATATTAAAAGAAAAACTAATCGTTAGTTTTCTTATCTTAATAAGTAGCATTTTTTTATTATTATTTAATGATGCACTTTGACACACTCAGTATTATGGAGAACATAAGGAAAAAGACATGACATAATTTTAATGAAATTCTCTTCAGGGTACAATATTTTCTAATTTATTTTTTAATTTAATTATGATGTTGTCAAATCCAATGACTTAGGAGTACAATAATTTTATAATCTTTTTATGCGTGCTTAATTAATAAGATTCATCACATGTTCGTCATTTTTCATTTAAGTCTTAAACATTTACAAAATCGTGTTTTAGAACAAATGACGTTGTCGATTTATATATAAATAAAAACAAGAAAAAAAACCTGATATTCGATTTTCGTCGATACATTTTTGAAGTGATGTCTGACTTCTATACTAAAAATAGATCGCTCTTTTAAACTTGCCAAACAATAATGCATTTTTTATTTTAATAGACTCTTTTATGACCTTGATCTTTTTTTGTCGTAGAATTATAAAAGAAAATAAATGGAATGTGTTTTTTTCACTTAGAATAACTTAAAAAGAAAAGATAATGGAGCATTATAAGAAACTCCTCCTACTGTGAATGAGAAAGTTCCTGGCTTTTTATGATTGCATTTATGTTATGGTTCAAAAAAATGTGTTTTTCTTCTTTCATCAACTGAAACTAACCCGTCTAGTAGCATATACAGGCACTACTTGTTGACAAGCTTGAGTCTGTGCTGGAATGATTTGTTGTTGTTGCTGTTGAGTACAAACGACAGCTGGTTGAGCTGGTGCACATGGTTGTGGAACTTGTCGAATAATTTCTTTAACTAAACGTCGACATGGAGCTTGTTGTTGTGGTATTGCACAACAAGTCGGTTGACAACATTCACGTTGTACTATTACTTGACGAGGTTGTGGCGGTGGTTGTGGTAGATATTTTTCATAGATTATTTGTTGTGGTTTTGGTGGAGGAGCTGGACATCGTTCAACAACAACTAAATAATTTCATAATAAAAAAAAAGAATATTTTGAAAAAAAAAATTTGTACCTTGTGGTGGTAAACAAGTACGTGGTAGACGTTTTTCAACAAATATAGGATTACCAGGTGCTTGGCAAGGAGGTGGTTGTTCTCTTAACAGATATATTTGAATAAATAATAGCTTAGAAAGAAAAAGTGTTTTACCGCACGACAATCGGTGGTGGAGTTGGTGGACAAGGAGGATGTTGTCGATAAATAATTGGTGGTGGAATTTCAGGAGGCTGTTGAATTTCTATAATAGAATTGAATTGATTTTCATATAGACAATAGGTCTTTACTCAATCAAAGTCTACCTCGAACAATGATTGGTGCTAGTGGTGGCGGTGTTGGTGGTTTTAACCACCGAATAATAACATTTTGTTTATATGTTATGTCTTGATTGCTTGGTTTATGTATGACTTGTGGAGGAAAATTATTATTTAAGGGTAGATTCGAAATGTATCCTGCATTAGAAACATCAAAAATAGGTGGAGAAGGAGGTCGTCCAAGTACTGCTGACGAACTGCCTGTTAATCCAGCAATATTATTATAAGGCGAATATAGAGGAGAAGAAGGTCGTCCAAGTACTGCTGATGAGCTGCCTAGTAAACCACCGATATTATTATTATTATTATAAGACGAATACATAGGAGAACCACCAGATGGGTACTGTTGCGTCTAAAAGTGATTAGAAGAGAAAAGCAATAGAAAAAACTAAAATATATATTTGTTTTTAATTATGAATTGTTATAGAAAATACCAAATACCTTTTCTTTTTTTTTATTGATGAATAAAGAATGAGCAGGATGTTTAATTAGCAAGGTTAAGAAAGAGAATCTGTATTTTTGTTAGTTTTTAAAGCAAATAGGTTTTTTTTTTATTCAGAAAGAATAATCGTAAAATGACTTTTAATAGATCATCTGTAACAAATTGTTGTAGGAGCAAGCGGTAAGCTGCATAGTGTACAATATGATGTACCACACATTAAAGAGTCTTGTGAAATAATTAAACAAGAAGGAGAAGGACAACAACAATAACTGGTTTCATGCGTACGTACAACAATAGTTGGTGGTGCATTAGAATGATATATCTATAAAATTTTAATTTTTTTTTTCTTTCATTTAGTATTTGAAATAGGAAATCGAGCTTACTGAGGGGGATGGTCCTGATAAAAATGGTAAACCATCAATATGCTGATTATAAATTTGAGCTGATGATGAATAGGGTTGATTAACAACCTGTAAATTCGGATTACTAAGAAGTCTTTGCACTAAATCATCTTGATATGGATCTTGAGTATACATAGTCGGTGTTGTATGAGGTATTTGATTACAAGCTGGAGATAATAATACTTGTTTGTTATCAGTGAACGATATTTGTGGTAATTGACGTAAAGGGCTCCCTTGTTTTATGACAGTAGACGAAGGTGATCCTCCATTATTGATAGGTACGCTTGATGAACAACCTTGATCAGCTTGTCCTTGTTGTTCTAATTGTTGTTGTTCGAAGTATTTGAATGCACGCATAAGTTTCATAACGGAAAGACAAGCATCATCAGAACTTTGTGTTATAAATATATAACAAAGTGCATTATCAAATCCATGAAATACAGAAACGAATATAGGTGGACCAATAATATGTTGAGCATAACGATTAGCTAAATCAACATTTTCAAAGTCTCGTCGAAGAATTTGATCAGGATTACGTTGATCAGAAGAATCACGTTTCATACGTCTTAAAGCACCACAATAAGCTAAATGTTCAATAGGTAAATGTAATGTTCGATTTTTTGTATCACTTGGTTCAAATGTAAGAAATTCTCCATTGTCATCTATTGATAATGAACCTTCTTGTCCAATTATATCAGCATCTGCTCGTGCTAATTTCGATCGTAATATATCTTGAACTAGGTCAGTACCATCTGATGTAGCATAGAATGTTAATGGTTCAACAGCTATAAATTGAACAAGTAATGTTCGACGTTCAAGATCCATATAACGTGAAGCCATTTTAATTTTAAACCTTTTCCCCTCTCTTCTTTTTACTTATTAATAATCTCAAATTTAAAAAAAAAGAAAATAGATTTTTTTTTTATTTAATCATTAACTACAAAATCCGTTTATCGTACTACTTGGTCACGGTTCGATTCACAAATGAAGTTTAGCAAAAGAAAAAGAGACGGACGGACAGAGAGAAAGAGTATCATTTATTATCGATAAACGAACGAAAACGACAGCTACGAGAGTCAATCGTATTGACAAGGTTAAAATATATTTATTCCTTGAACATATTGTATAGAACATACAAATAGGAGATAATTTCACGCTATTGAATTTTTTTTTCATTGAACATTTCAAAAGATATTTATCCTATGTTTTGTGTAATTCAATGATATCTTATTGACAATTAAAATATATATATATTGTACAAACTGTTATTCTCAAAGACAATCATTATTGATTTCGATAGAAGTTACAATTACTTTATTATGCTTGTACTGGTCTTAAAACATATGAAAGTGTGTTCATACAAGATAAAGAGAATATTATATCGTATTGATTAAAATTTTGATGTAATTTTTTCTAATTTTGATATAAATCTGATTTGATAAACTAAGACCTTAATATGTTCATACTCATTTGATTTCTATCTATCATACGATAACGTTTTATTATAATATATAGTTATAAAAAAAAGAATCATAAAACACAAATGCCTACAAAATAAAAGCAATTAGGAATTCACGTGTGCATGATGTACTCTCCATTGATTATTTTTGTTCTTAATTGGTTTTTTTTTCATAGGAAATTTTTATTTTTCCTACTGGTTATTTAGATAATGAGAAATGAATAATTAATTCGAGTTATAGTTTAGATAAAAATATTCAAGATACTTTTTGTCATTTTGATCGTCGATAATGAAAAAATCAAAGTGGTATAAGTTACTCAGATTTGTCTACAATGGCACATGGTGAGGACAGACATTTAACTGATTAATATGACAAAACCACATTGACAGTCTGTAAAAAATTTGAATAAACAGCGGAAACTAAATCTTCATTAGTAATATTAAAATTTTTCTGTCAAAAAATAACCAATTATAAACAAAAATAATCCATGGAAAGTGCATCGTGTCATCCGGTTGATTAATATAAAGCTGTAGAAAAGAGTAATATTAATATCTTTTAAAACAGAAAACAATTATTAATAAATTGAGAAAGTACACAAAAACTAGTCAAATAATACATGTTAGTTAAGTGTCTTATTTATTCATGTACAAAAGCATATTTTCTTCTTCCTGTTTGATGCCTATCAAAACATTGTTTTTAATTAAATCCTAATAAAACAGACTAGCAACTATAACCACATAGCGAGTATGTCCTATAATAACGAAACAAAATATAGTTTTTCATCAAAGACTCATATTGCATATAGCAATAGAACACAGCTGGAGGTTATTTTCAATCAATAATATATATTTGTAGCAAGCTAATACACAATGGAAAGTAATCATTATTCTAACATCAACCCTTGATTTTTGATTCTTTCAATAAATGATGTTCAGCATATATTATATTAACACTATTCGTCATTTATAAAATACTTGTATCATATAAACATGTCAAAATTCTAGCATTCTATCATTCAGTGACTATCGATCGGTGTATTTGTATTGTATAATATTGACACTGATTATGAGCTGTAAAAACAGAAAAAAAAGAGAGAGAAAAAGGAAAGACACAAGTAAGTAAATACCGAATTTTATTCCATGAAACAAATGTACGCAACTAAAAACATATCAAAGAATAATTGAGAATTTCTAACTCACTTATAAGTTATTTAAAATGTATCATCAAACATTATTAAATCATATGGAAAATTCAACAAATAAAGTTACTAATGAATATATGGATGTATTAATAAATAAAATAATTTTTATTATAATATTATGTATAAGCATACCAAGTATAATGATAAATCTATTTGCTACATATCGTCTTCATGGAAATACAAAATTAAGTGTTTTTGCATTTCGTTGTATATTACATGTTAGTTTATTTACAACATGTACATGTATACCATTATTTTTAGTTGAATTATATTTTAATTTATATTTTCCATTATCATTATTTATATGTAAATTATGGTTAATTATCGATTATTCATCAATTGTTTGTCTAGCTCTATTAGTATGTTGGGCATCAATACAACGTCATATACTTATATTTGGTCCAATACATATGAAAAAATTACAATCAACATTTAAATTTAAACTTATACCAAGTACATTTGCATTAGGTTTTCCATTAATATGGTATTCAATACTTATATCAACATGTACATATGAGAAAACAATTCGAAATAAATTTCGATGTCAACCATGTTTTGAAGATAAAAAATTCATTTTTTTAATTGATACTTTATTAAGTTTATTATTTCCATTGTTAATAACAATACTTGCAACATTATTTTTATTAATTCGTATAATTCGTTTACGTTTTCGTTTATTTCGTTCGAATTCAAAAAAATGGCGTCGTTGTAAACGTTTAACACGTCAAATGATATTATTTTCAAGTATTTATTTAATTGGTTTATTACCATATGTTTTAGTAAATTTAAATTCTTTATATGAATTTTGGCCATTAATTAATCTATCATGGTGTATACAAATAGCAAATGCATTTACATATGTTCCTTGTTGTTTTTCATCATTTTTAAGTATATATGCTATTCCAGAAATATGGAAAAATCGACGAAATCATCATCATCAGCATCAGCATCAACAACAAAACAGCTTGAGAAAAAATCGGAAACAGGAACAAACATCGTTTACATTACCATCAATATTTTCAACAACAAAGACATCAACTGACACAGAATAAATGCAATTTTTGTTATAGTCTTATTCCAGAAAAATATTAAAATAAGATTTCTTGAAAAATATAAAGATAATTATAAATATCTCATGTTTAATGAAAAATCATTATATAACTTCAAAAGTGATTCAGTTTTTTTTCTATCTTAATTATAATAGATAAAATCAATCATCCAATAAAATTTGACATGCATAGGTAAGACGGAAGTTGGGATAAAACAGTACGACAGAAATTTTTTTGAGCTGTAGGGTCAAAAAATAAATCATTACTTCAAATGCCAACATTATAATATTTCTAGATTTTGCTCAATGTAATGAACGAGTGAAAAGGAATTATTTGTAATAGTTTAGATTCGTTAACTCCGCATAATTCAATGGTAACTCAGATAAAACGAGCGAATTATTATCGACTTCAATGAAAGTTTTATATATCAAAAGAAAATAACAATACAATTTACAATTTTCGATCTTGTACAAGTTGATAAAACCGGTCATCATCAGTAAAGATAACCACTACCTATTACCTAATGTTAATGTTGTAATCATAATACCATAATTAATTAACATAAAACATCGATCCAATGTACAAATAAATAATATTCAAGTTTTATAAGTACTGTATGTGAATAAGTCAATATTAAGAAGATAGATAACTTGATAGTAAAATATAGTAGAGTCAGAAGCGAGATAGAAGTATTATGATGATTACAATATTAACATTAGGTAGTGGTTATGTTTACTGATGATGATCGATTTCACCAACGTGTACAAAGTCGAAGATCCTAAATTGTATTGTTATTTTCTTTTAATATATAAAATTTTCATTAAACTTTATCGACTTCGCTGAAGAACTCAATTGCGTAATGTACAAATAGGAGGTAGTATGAATATGATATCCACACTCAAGATGGTTTAGAAGTTCTCAATAGATATAAATGCTGAATCAATTACATATTTGATTTTTTTATTCATCAATTTCCTTCGAATTATATGCAATAAGACATTTTCCAGTTCTTACTTTTCTTTTAACAATCTCATCATAATCAAGATACATACATACATGTATATCCACAACAACAAAAGCAAATGTTCACACAAAAAGAAAACGATTAGCAACAAAACAACAATAAAAATAAGCTCTTTTTTTTTTGTTTGTTTTTTAAAAAATTTCTCATCGCAATTAGAAGGCTTCTGTTTTTTTTGCACACAATGAACTATATATATATAGTATAATTACAACAAAATACAAAACAAAATGTAATTCATTAACGCGGGAATTTTTGTCTAAGTAACATTTTAATAACATTAAATATATATATATATATAAAAAAAAAACGATGAACACACACACGCACTCATCTCTCTACTAACAGAAAAAAGGAAAGTGTATTTTGAGACATTGAACAAGGAAAGAATAGTTGATATTAATGATAATTGTTATACATAAAGTAGACGAACACGTGATGTTGATACTTCAAGATCACCATCAAAAAATTTCGTTTCAATAACAACATTTCCACTAGAAAAAAAAGAAAATATGCATATATTTTAAGAAATAAAATTCAATTCTACTTTAATATATTCGCCGGGATCATTTGACTTTCTGGTGCTGCTTCAATTAATGATTGCCAAGTATTTGTTGAACCAGGAATAACAAAACCAAATGCAAATGACCATTCTAAATTAAAAAAAATGATGGTAAAGAGAAACGTCTACTACATGTAACAAATAAATCTAATATGATTTTTTTTGTTTCACTACAATCCGACTTTTATATTTCCAGTTCAAATGACGTCATGCAGAAAATTATTTAAACAGTTTATGCTCCGAAATAAATTAACTCACACAGATACACTGTTGTGTCATAGTTAGATATGAAGTATATACCTTTATACAATTGCTCAACTATAACTATTATTATTCTGACACATATTCAACGAAAAAGAATTTTTCATAGAATAAATACCGGTTTGTGGAACTCAATAAGCTATTCTTTAACAAACTGACTCATTTTATTTCGATATAGATCATTAGTAATGACTGGCTTAAGTTCGTCAGATCTTCACCTGAAAATATTGTACTAACAAGATTTAATAAGAAGTAAAAGTCAGATGCAACTGAGATATATGAAGAATATATGACATATTGATATAAATAAATAGAATGAAAAATCTAATATTCCAGCTATAAATTCTTCCATGTACCTTTCATGGACCTAATAAGAAATCATTACACTTTCTTTACTTATAATATTCATGTTCTAAAAGTATATATTATCTTCGTTGAATATATACATATATATCAGTGACCGTTCGATACTCGAGTTATCAAGTTATATAAGCACCTAAAATAATATCTGATAATAAGATAGAAGGCTAAAAGAACTGATTTTGATCATTGAATTGACTATAGATTTGCATATGGATAGTTTTTTACTAATTCAGAATCGATCAGAATTCTCTGAACATCTTGTATATCGGTTTTTGAAAACATAAAACCAAATATACATTAACTTGATGCGATAGAACATTTAGAAATTCTTTAATTTTACTCTGTATATAAAACTTGTCATTAATCTAATGTCGAAACTAACATTTGAAATAGTTGCTTCATATAGAAACAAAAAACGCATCTATAAAATAAAGATTAAGATCAATAATACATTTATGTTATTTTCTATGTCAATTTAAAAACTTATTAATTCCATAATAATACTTGTGTTGCATAAGTATTACGACTATTAAATATTACCTTCAATGACTGATCCTTTAAAATAGACACGTTGTTCTAAACGAAATTGTTGCATTTCTTCTTGCGATGAAAAATTTATTTCACGTGAAACTGCTCGACATTTAAGAATACGTTTTGGTACACGTGCTTCATGTTCCGAACCAGGTGTAGACCTATATTATTAACAACGTAGAAATATTAATAAAAAGAATTAGTATTATATACAAATTTTCTGATGATTGCCAAAGTATTCGACCTGAATCAGCATCACGTAAATTCATCCAATGTAATTTAAAACCATTTAAAATCTCTTGAGCTCGCTTGGAAGACGAGTGTCCGTCAGACATATTGCTAATAGAAATTTTTCTAGAAAATAAACTAAAAATGTTC